ATGTGTATGTGTATGTGTTTGCCAATGTCTGTATGTTTGTGTGTTTGTGTTTGTTTGTTAATCTGTAGTTCTGCGATAGCGTTTGACAGTATCGTCTTCAATGTTCGCCTACTGAAAAATTACGGATAGTGGCTGTTTTTAAAGGAAAACAAGCCGATTTGGCTTTTTCAATAAGGCTAAAATATATTTTTACTCTTTTCTTACATTTTTAAAAGACTAAAAGGGCTTTTTTGACGCCCTGTTGGTGTGCGGCTATCTGTCAGATTATGGGCGTAAACTTAGGGATTTGGAAAAACTATTTCCTGCATTGGTGATGGATATAATGGGTGCTGCTGTGACGTCGGAAAAGTAATTGTCGTGAAGCGTCCTAGTTGATGAAGATGACTTAGAGAACTCAGGGAAGTACTTCTCAAGGTTTATCGTACTCAAAAAACCCTTTTATTTGATTTTAGTTAAAGAGTTTTGTTAGGTTCGATTTTGTTCTCATATTTCATTTTCCAGTTACCTTTTAAAACTGTTGACGCTGCTCGGCGTTTTAGTTCTCTTGCGATATATGTCTTTTTTATTGTCATTTACTTCGTAGGTGTCTATTTTTTTCAAGGATATGTGTATTGCATCGGTTTTGCACGGCAAAGTATATTAGGTTCAATTGATCTCATCAGTTGTTTTTTTTTTCTTCCTATTACCAGTAACTTTTGTTTCTTGGGCAAAGCATGCAGCGTTGCAGTTATTACACTGAAAAATAGATTGGTTTGAACTCTCTGTAATCAAGTGCAGATTTTGTTATCACAGCAAAAAATGGCATATCAAGTGGAGTGCATGCGGTTTTATTGTTGTTCCACTGAAAAATTTTATCCATGCAGAATTTTTACGCATGCTTTAAAACATAAAAAGATAGTTGCAACTGGTTTGGAAGTGTTACGGAAAAGTGCTTTATGGAAAGCGATGCATAGATGCATGATAGTAATTCAAAGTGTAAGAAGGTACAGGGAACGCACAGTTGTGGACAGTCACTTTCAACTAGATGTTTCTCTACATTTCTTTCAATTTGTTATCCGGGAACGTAGTAATTAACATAGCGTAGAAAGGCGATAGCTAAGAAATTATTGAGTTCAAACAGTACATATATTTCAAATTTTCCGCTTTTTATTATTTATCCTTTTTTATGTCTTACTTCTGTTTTACTTCTGTCTAGGAAACCGATAAACTGCTTAGTTCCAGTTGAGTAATGGAAGTGCACGGCACAAATCAAAGAATGTAGGCAGAAAAATAATAGGTTTGCGTTGGACTTCAAATGGAAATGTTTTTAGAATGTGTCCTCGGATCTGACCAACTGATTACTAATGAGAATGGAGGGCCGTAGGAGAGTGTGGAGTGAATTGATTGTAGGAGATCTCAAAGAACTTGGGCTTATGTATTCTTGTGAAGTATAAACTGGGTAGTTTCACTAATGGATTAGGAATATGTTGGAAGATAAGAATAATTAGGTTTTTTGTAATTCGATACTTGCAGGGGTTTTGTAATTCCGTTGTATAGACTCCTCAAGAAGATGAAGTAAGTTTTGGGTGGGTCAGTACAAAGAGACGTTAGGAAGTAAATTTGAAGTAGGATGTATGTAAATAAGCAAATATGCTTATTTATATACTAGATATGGCTCAGGTAATGTGTGTTTGTGAGTTAGAGAGGTGAGGGTGAGCAAAAGTATATATGTGGAAAGTATGATTGGTTTTTGGTTCTTTTAAAACAATTTGTTAGATACCAGCAATTGTTTGACACCTTAAAGTTTTTTCTCTTGAGCGGACGATTGCTTGGAAGCTTGAGAAAGGGTTGTATGGTGATGGTGTGGTCTCGCACACCGCCGATTTTGTCACATTATTAGATGCAAAGTCATTCTCCAAGGCCAATAGAAAAAGTGCTGTCGGTATTTAACTTTGGCGTGACCATTTTTCTTTTCAGTGTATTTGTTGGAAGTAAAGGCGGAAGAAGCTTGGTTAATAAGTATGAATTTCAGATAATGGCTGAGCAGACGCAACAGGCTCAAATGCTTGCACTGCTGGCTGCGCAGGCTGCGGCGCAGAACAACTTATGCAATTCGATGCTTTTTCCGCAGTACAACTGGCCCGCCCCAGGACCCGCAGATTTACTTTTCTGGAGCAGCTTGGCGCAGCTGTCGCAGGGCTCGGATAACCAGCGACAACAGTCAAGTTCTCAACAAGAATCTTTTGAAGAAGCACTTCGGAAGATGGCAGTACCGAATGACATTTCTTCATCACCTTCGAAAAGTAGTTTTTACAGTCAATTTTTAATTGCGGTTTCTGTTGCATTAATTTTGGCTTAATTTATCTTTTTCTTCAACCTAATTTTTTCATAATTAACTGATATTATTCTTTTCAGCGAAATCTGCCAGTTCCTCATCTGCTAAAAAACAAATTAAACAGATACTAAACCCAAAAACAGGTACTTCTAACGGTGTCTCTAGATCATCCTTTCCATTAGTTTCTGCTGCGTCCACTTCTGCAGCAACTAGTAGCAAGTCTTTGGAACCAGGCGAAATACCGCGGAAGAAGTAAATTTTGTATTATCATCAGTTTCTTTTTGTATCTTATTCTTTTTCATCTTTTTCAGATATTTATTTTGGTGTTGTGTTTGACCATTTGCTTTTAAGCTTTTCAAATTAAATGTATTTTTATTTGTTTACTTATACAATGAATGTAATTGTAAAATTTTTAGTAATCTTGATCTTTGCGTAACTTTTATCCGGTTTTTCAGGGATTCTCAGAAGAATAGTAATGGTCTTCCCACCACGGCGGGTGAAAATTCGTTGGGTGTTCCAATGAATGCTGACGTACTTGAGGCTTCAGCTAGATTTTGGGCACTCATGAATCAAATGGCTGTTACACCGTCAACTTCTCAGCAACAGCAACAAACAGAATTGCTGCTGGCAGCTTTACAGGGTGTCGCTAACTTAGAAAATGCAGCGAAACAACAAACAAAAGCTCCTAAAAAATCAGTGAACACATCCGCTTCCGGTGCTCCTGCTCCATCAGCTACGGCTAAGATTTTTGCGAAGTTTGATTTGATAAACTGATTAGGTTTTTATGTCCGCTTGCCTGTTTCGGTTTTTTGTCCCAACGAATTTAATTTAAAAATTATTTTTTAAATTGCTAATGCATGTATTTCAGCTCTAACAAAAAACTCGATTTCCGCCAAGCTCAGTCATCTGGGGCTCAGGCTTCGAGTTCGGCTGTTCGGTCCTTAGATTCCCCGCTAGATCTTTCAAGCCATAAATTCAAAACGGAAGAACTTTCTAATGATGACAGAGCTAGCTCCAGTGGACGGACGAGCGTGGATCTAGCAAATAGCGAATTTGATCCAAGCAAACGGCGTACGCATGCAGATGCTTCACTTGTTCGCGTACCTCTTTCGTTAGGGTAATGATAGTTATAAAAATGTTAGATTTTTTAAATAGTTTACTAAGGCTTACAGCTAGGATTCTTGCAGTGGTTGACAGGAAATAGTTTTTTATAGTGATTTTGTTTTGCTTTTATGCTTTCATGATTTTTTAGTTGGAGAAGGCAAACTTGCATTCGTACGATAAGTGCAACTGGAGTACGTGGTGACGTTATCTATTATGCGCCATGTGGCAAACGGTTGGGGTCTTATGCGGAAGTTACCAGGGTGAGTCTAAGCTTATAAAAATTTGCCCGGTATGGTGATATTGTTTGTTGAACTTTTATTGCTTGTAGGGTTAAATGTCTATGAAAGTTTCCTTTAATTAATAATTAGTGATTTTCTTATAGTTTTCTTTTTTCACTATAATATGTTACCAGAGGTCACGTTTTAAGCCTTCTACCTGAATTTCGAGTTTTTTCATCATTACAGCAAACTTTAATCTTTAGTTGCTAGGTGTTTCTTTTGAAGGTGTAAGCTAATAGGAGGAATGGGATTTTTTTCGCTGTTTTTCATTGAGGCTTTTATCTCGTTCTGTTTTTTGACTTTTTTTTTTTATTTGCTTGCAGTTCTAAACTTTCAGTATCTCAATAAAAGGAACATTACGACAATCAACAGGGAGCACTTCAGTTTCAGTTGCAAAGTTATCGTTGGGGAGTTTATTTTGATAAAACCGACCACAGATGGGTCTGAAAAAGTGTGTAACTTGAAAGTCTCTTTTAAAGTCTTTTTTACTAATGTTACAGAATAGTCTTATTTAAAATGCTTTTTTTTTTTGTTTGGAGGCCGAGTTGATATTTGTTCATGATACAGGCTATAACTAAAGTTACTGAGGAGGAAGTTCTTGCCGAAATTGCTCGACTCTCAGGACAGAATGGTCCTCGAAAAGCAGCAAATAATGCTGCTTTTTCAGGTTTAGTGGAGAGTGTGCCGAAAGTTAATGGTAAGGTTGAAACTAGTGCTATGGATTTAAGTTTCCACTTAGGTTACGCTGTGTCAAATTTCTATATTTTCATTGCTTAAGGTCTTCCTAAGGGAGAAAAGAACCGTGAGGAAAAAATTGATGAAAAGACGCTGCAAGAGTTGCACTTGCAGTTACTCCAAGGTGATCCAATTTACACTCAGCTACTGCTGGGACTGGTGCGTTATCTTGCGTAATTATCTTGGTCTTGAGAGGATGTTTTTTATAGAATTAGGGTTGGTTGCAAGTTACCTTCGATGACATTTTTAGGGTCAGCAGTTACAACAAAACGTCATGAAAACCGAAAGCACTCATTCAGCACTAGCTCCCAAATCACAAACGCATCCAGTAGTTGAGAAAAAGAAAATAAAAGTAACAGTTCCGTTGTCATTTAAAGTAATTTCTAATTTTTTCCAAAAATTTTTTTTTTTGCAAAAAGTAGTTTTTAAGGTTGAACCAGTAGTTGCTACTCCTCCACCGCCATCTCAGCCAGAACTAACAGAAGAAGAGAAAGCGAAGCTAAAGCAGGAAGAAGAGGAAAGGCTGAAGAATTTGAGACAACCTATAGATGATCTGCTCCTTGAGGAAGCTAGGGTGAGAATGGTCTTTCTACAGGAATAGTTTTGATTCATTTTTTTATTAATAAAACCGTTATTTAACTATTCAGAAATTGCCACAGTTGGATAGGATTGAGCACCTTGACATTACGGGTCCCGCTTTTGGAGATATACTGATGGTTTACGAGTTCGTTCATAATTTTGCTCACGTGCTTAAGATTGGTCAGTGTCTTTATCCGGTTTGAACTTGCTTTTGCTTCGATGTTGTTTTTAGTTACTTTGAGTTTTTTAGTTAGGACCGGCACCTTGAAGCGATTTTACTTTTCTTTTCAGACCTTAAAACCGTACCGTCGCTTGAAAACCTTGTTGCTGGTCTTCAAAATGATCCGGCACACCTGAAGGGCTTTTTGCACCTCACAAAGATCTTACTACAGTTAGCATTAGAATACCCTGGTTTACCATCCGGAATTGCCGGTCGGACGCCTCTAGGTCAGGCATTGAAAGATGTCGGCTTACACAGAGACAATTACTCGGAATTGATGAGGATGTTTTTGCTTTCTCGTGACGAGCCTGGCGAGAAGGTCTCATTTTCATTTTAGTGAAGTTTATTTCCTGTCACTGTCGTAAATAATTGTTTCAAAGTTTATAGCAAGGTTCATTTATAGTTGGGTAAGAGGTTAGAGTCAACATCGTTTGAATGCTTGGACGCTGAATCGAAAACTGCAATACTGGCTTTCCTTTGTAATGAGCTCCTTTACTGTCGCAATGTTATTCGTGAAATAGAAGGAAATATGGAGGAAATGACTCGCCTTAAGGGAGAGAAGTGGTTAAGAGAAGGTAAAAGTCGTGCACTTCGTGCTGTGCAAGCAAGAAAACGAGCTGAGAACCGTAGAAAGGTGAGGTGCATAGAGGTTTTTTTTATTTTCTTAGCAGTTGCGTTGACGAATTTCAACGAAAAAGTTTCCTTTTTTAGCATAAGCATGATGGAGATGATGGTGATGGCAGTAGAGCTGGAACTCCGGGCTCTACTCGATCAGACGGATCAGATGAACCAGAGGCTCCTTTACCAGTTATTCACAGATTGAAAGCACTGACGCCAGGTTTAGGGCAATGCGATATTTTAACTCCTGAGGTTACTGTTGGTTATTAAAAAATTTTTGCTTAAGTATAGGTAATTTACATCTCATTTTTTTATCAGGAGTGTTGAGGAAACCCAAAGAAATCTTGTTTTTTTCTATAAGATTCTGCTCAATTAGGAGATGCTGCAAGGATCAAGTTGTTCTTTAGCAAAAATTGATTTTTGAAAGTTTTGCACGTTTGTTATTCGCGTAGTTTTTCAGGAAGAAGCTATGACGGTCGATGAACTTGACGAGTACTGCGCTAAATTAAATTTGGAAGCTGAAGAGCTCCGTGAAAAACATAATTTACTTGCAGATCGGGTCCGAATACAACCTTGGGGGCAGGTAGGGTTTTACATTCATTTTTTAGAGGTGGCTGGCTTGTTGAATCTTTGCGTCGGTTTCTATTTTGAACTGCATTAACGATTCAGGATCGTTACCATCGTTACTATTGGTACATTCCTCGTCTGAAAGTTCTCCTGGTTGAAAGTATTGCCTCTGCTGGTCTGAACAACCCCGCAGTTAATGTTGATATTACGTGCGCTGATGACCCCCCATCTGTAAAAGGTTTCAATAATTATTGTTTTTTAACATAACCTGTTAATTGTCTTATTTGCTAAGTTAATAAATTTGTCTTTAGAAGATCCTTACAACTATGTTGATCCAGATGTTATTGCCGCTGTTGAAAATATCCTTGATGAGTTGTGCGTTGAGGAAGAAAAACCGGACAAGGCCAAGAAAGGTGATTTTGCTTTCGTCTCACATATCGGTATTTAGTGGAGCCTACTTCAATTTCCGCTGTAATTTTCGTTTTGTTGAATTACACAGTGGGAGAAAGTAGCTGTTTGATTTTATTTTTCTTAGCCTACCATGATTTAGCTCGCTTGAGAAAGCTAGATAACCGCCAGAAGCGTGGATGGTGGATAGTCGCGAACGAAAAGAAGTTTGAACAAGTAAAAGCCGCTTTGCATGGCAGAGGAATACGTGAGCGCTTACTTCATCGTGTGCTGCTAAAAGATAATCGGGAGAGCAAAAACGTTGAGCCATGTATGTTTTCATTTTTTGTTATTACAAATTTCGTTTTTGCAGCTTTGCTCTTAATTATCAAAGCTGATAGGTATTTTGATTAATTGTGGTCTAATAAAAATGCCATATTTTTGGGTTGAAGAGTAACATTGGGTTTTTCAGTGGTTTTTCACAGCGTAGAGGAACCTCTTGGGAAGGCAGAAATTAATGCGGCTGGTATAGCTCGTTTGACCTCTTTGATTGCAAACTTTGAGCAGAAGGTTATTTCTGCGAACGTTCACTGCAGAGTAAGTGTCAGTAAATACATGGTTTTAAGTATTTTTTGTTATGTTGAGTGCTTTTCGCTCCGGAATGGTTAATCGCTGCTTGTTATTCCACCTAGATGGAAAGAGTTTTTAGGCGTTCAGCACCGATGTTGGTGGTTGTGGACAAGATGATGATCTCGAAAACGAAGAGAGTCAAGATTCTTGGTTATGCGATGACAAGTTCACACAAACAGAATTCAAAGTGGAAGACCTTGATTTAAAGGATTTAAAGGAATTTCGTTCATTGAAGGATCGCCTGTTAGAAATTGAAAGAAGTATTGAAAGACGTTATTTTCTTCACAGATATCATGCTGGGTGAGTACCTATTTCTTAGGCAGTCGTCTTCATCACCTGCTTTTCAACACTTTGCTTTAATTTGTTGTTTTTGAGGATTTTAGATCTCTGTTACCTGTTGAACGGGTTTTGGGCCAACAGACGGCGGAGAATGGCTTAAACAATGTTGCTGCTAGTGCTGGAGAAGGTGATTTGAACCCTGTAACAACAAGATCTAGGGAAACTAGTTTGACTGCTGACGGAATTGAATCAAGCACCATGGCCATAGATGAAAGTGGAGATACTGAGCTGCTGCATCGTTGGAGAGCGTTTGTTGATAATGCAGTTACCTTGGGGCAGCTTATGTTTGCTTTGCAGGTCTTTTTTCGATACCATTTTCAACTATTATTTTGCCTTTGACATTTTTGTTAAGGTAGTAATACTACAGTTAATTGAATTCTAGGCTTTGGACGCAGCGATAGCATGGGAAAAGTCAATCATGAAAGCTAGTTGCCAGATTTGCAGGACAAGTGAAAATGAGAGTCAACTGTTACTTTGCGACGCCTGTGACATGGGATACCACATGTACTGTTTTAGGGTCAGTTTCGTTTAGGCTCTTGTTGTGTTTCGTACTTTTTATGTGCGCAGTTAGTTGCTTTTGTAGATGGAAATTCAATTCATTTTTTTTAGCCTCGCATCATAGCGATACCAGAGGGTGAGTGGTATTGTCCGCTTTGCATACAAAGGGCGGCACATAAGTCGGTTTGTATGCTGTGTGCAAATTATTCACAGACAACTCCGATTACTACGTGCTCAAAATGTTATAACGGTTACCATGTGTCTTGCTTTGACATGCCTCCTGCAGTTCCCGACCCTAAACAGTGGACCTGCCCCGGTTGCCTAAGTGTTAGTTCTTATTTTTACATTTGGATATCTTGCAATCAGAAGCTTTAGCCAGTGTCAGGGAAGTCTGAATTTTTTTAGGCAGATGGGTCCTCGTCAGAACTTCTAAACTGTTTAATCAATACTGACATAGAGGGGTGTAATATGTTAGCAGAATCTTCTGGGTCTAAAGAAAATGGTATTGGTGACAAAAACGAAAAGACCCCTGGCAATCATGCTAAAGAAGATTCTCCTAGAAAAGTAGGTAATAAAAGGAAATTGCCGCCACCAGATTATGATTTTCCGCCAGATATGATGAACTTGCTTTTCAAGTAAGTGCATACCTCCATTTTTTTTTTCTAATTTTTTATATGTGTTTGCTCAAATGTGGCTTCAGGACTACAATCGATGAAATGTGGTCGCAGCCGGAAGCGACACCTTTTCATTACCCTGTTGATCTTAAGGCAGTTCCGTTGTATAAAAAGATTATCAAGCGCCCAATTGATCTGACAATGATTCGTAACAATATTGAAAGTCACAAGTGCGTTTGACGGTTATTTTAACTTTGTATTTTTATTTGTGTAACACTTCTTACTTAATTCAGCGTATGTTTTAGGTATCAAACTCAGGAAAGTTTCTTAGAGGACATAGAATTAATGTTTACTAACTGTAAAACGTTCAATGAAGACGAATCAGAAATTGGTAAAGCAGGCATCAGTCTTCACAAGTTTTACACAAAGAGGTGGAAGCAGTTGCGATATAACTTTTCCAAAAGACTGAAAAGACTCAAAAATCCTAGACTGACAACTCCTATGCCGGGTGAGAAGAAAAGCTCCAACACTGTAGCATAGGTTCATTTTGATACAGCGAGGTCAGTGGATCATTTCAATGCGACGAGCATTAAGTTAATGTTTGTAAAAATGATGAAGAATATTGTTTGGCTGTTCTTTCGTTTACATATCGGTAATATACATGAATACTTGCTTTCTGCTATTTGTTGAGTGCTCACACTTTGTGTAGAAGGGTGGTTCAGTCGTCCTTATACTGTAGAGGTATTATAGTAAGTTATTTCAAAAATTTTTTAGATTGTATGTTGTTTCTTCAGCGGGTTGGTTTTCGATGAAGTGCTTGCAGAAGGTTAAAGTTATTTTGAGTTTCTGAAGGAGGTAACTGGAGGACTAATGTTGGTGTAAAAAAGGTTATTTTGCCCATGAGCACTGTTGTTCTTAAAGAAGGGTTTTGCACAGTGATGAAGCTCATTTTTTTTCGATTTTTACAATTTCCAGTTTATTTATACGGGTTTTTGTATGTTTAAATGCAAGTTTGTTCTCTGCTTGAATGGATTTTCTTTATTGTGTAGTTCTTGTAGTTTACTTTTGGCTCTTTCTTTTCTGGTGTTCAACTTTCTGATTCAGAAATGCTTTAATTTTCTGTTTCTTTCTGTTGCTTGTTCTCGGTTTGTTTTTGACTTTGAGAAGTTGTATAAAGTTCTGTTTTCCTGTAAATACAGTTGTAATCGTTTTTACTGATATTCCTTCCAACATTATTCTCAACATTATGTAACTCTGGTATACTCACCTTTCAGCTTTAGTGTTTTTTTTTCCATTTATTGATCGGATACTGTGTCATTTTCCTACTGGATTTTTGATAGCCATTGATAGTGTTGTTATTATTGTCATTATTATAATTATTATTACTATTATTATTACCTTTATTATTATTATTCACTACTACTACTGTTACTGTCATTATTACTATTACTATCATTATTACTATTATTATTACCATTACTATTATTATTAACATTCACTATTATTATTAACATTCACCATTATTATTGTTATTATTATCATTATTATTATTTTTATATTTATTTTTATTGTTGTCATTGCCGTTATTACCATTGTCGCTGTTATTATACATTCATTCGTTCTTGTAGACATTTTTGTTATACAAAGTCAGATCGGAATTTTAGGTTTTGTCTTTGAATTTGCATAGCACCAGAGTTCTGCTGAGTTATTTTGTGAAATTTTGAACATGAACCTACGTGTACGCAACTGTAAGTTTTGTATACGTTGTTAATTTGGAATTTACAAGATTATAGCGTCTTGTTAACTATACGTTTTTGTTAGTTCATGGAGGTTTTGGAAATTGAGGTGCGTAGCTGCGAGTTGATATCGTCAGTTTTTGGTGCAAAGGTTAGGTTTTCATTAGACCTGCTGTCCACGGCACTGATTTTTCCCCTTACTTTACTTCACAAGCCGTTTTTCTGTAGTTATGAGGGTCGTGGCTGTTTGTTTTTTGTATTCTGGCACTATTGTGAATTGGGATTTTGATGAAGTCTTGTCACAGTTTTCCCTTCACCCATAACCTTGTTTGTAGTCTAAATGATTTATTATTATATACCTTTTCAATAACTTCTGTTGCGGTTATTTGATGAAGTGATAAATTTCTCAGTTCCGTTTCGCTTTTTAAGTGCACCGGCAATTTTCGAGAAGACGACAAATTTGAAACGTTTTATTTTGGTGGTGTTTTTTACGGTTTAACGTGCATCGTTATTTGGAAGCAGACGGTGTGATCCGTTGTGCTGTGGACTGGGTCACGTTTGCTATGCATGATTTGTGAGAATTCCTTTGAAATTTCCAAAAAATATGACCTGGAGGATCAAGATGTAGAGCACCATAGTTAGTGCAAGGTTTTTTTTGTTTTGCATAAAGGAGTTGAAGGTTTCAGGAACTGTACAGGGCTGTTAGGATGCTGGTAGGATGTTCAGACACTAAAGTTGTTAGGATATGGAACAAGTGTGCCTGTATCAACTTTGCAACTGAAATTTATTGTACAGACTGAACTTGAAAAATTTGTGGTTCGTGTGGGGGTTGGCCTATTCTGGTTTCTTTACAATTATTAAGGCTGGCACGAATTTTTGAAATTCACGAAAAACTTTTTTGAAACAAGACTTATTTATATGTTACGCAAAAGGTCGTTTTTTTTACTGAACAGTAAAATGACAATATTTCAGAACTGGGTCCGAATTTTTTGTTCATGGTTTGTAGTCCTATATTAAGAATCATCGCTTTAATCTAAATGGAAGTTTTTTTTAACAATCTGGTTTGTACGGCCTAGAAAAAGAGTTTTAATGTAGATTTAAGTGTACACTTGCAGGATACATTTCGTTTGAGCAGAATGAAGTGGAGTGGTTAATTGGGACGAAAAGACAGGCCAAGTTGTGATGTACCGGACTCATAGTCGACGAACAAAGAAGATATTTTAGTTTTTCATTTGTGCAAGAGTTTTATGAAGTCTGCAGTGAACGCTGTAATAATGTTTTGGAGTCATTGTCATACAAATCAATAAGGAGATGATGTAGCGGCTGCCAGTGATTGCTTAGCAACGTAGCAACAACCAGCAGGTTGCGAGAATGATAATAATTCACCAAATTACCCTTGCCATTCCGAATGGCTGAAGTTCATATTATTGGAAGAATTGTTAGCGCTTTTGGATTTCCGGACCAACGCTTGTTTTGTTGTTGGGAACTTGAATTAGGTATAAAGTATCTGAAAGTTCCAATTTTCAGCAGTATTGTAACCAGTAGTTGACTTGATAGTTCGGAAATTATCATTTTTAACAACTAGGTTCCGTAATGATGGCATTTTCTTTATTAAGTGTTTTTTAGGTGGTGGCTGGAGATTAATAGAGGGTGAAAAAGAGGGCCAAACACAAACCGATTTACCTGAGCTAGAGGAGGTTGCCTACTTTTCACATCCCCTCGATATCCATTTGGCGACAAAAACTATCCAAGGTACTTTAGCTCCACTGAGTAGGACGACATATTTTTGAATAAGATGTCTAAAAAAATGTTTGAAACTTCATTGATTTGGAACCGTCGAGTTAAATTTGAAAAAATCTACAGTTCTGCTTATGTGGTAACAGTTAAAACGGCGGAGTAGAGGAGAAGAAATTATTTTTCTAGCAAGATGGGGAGATTTTTAAGTGATATTATCAGTAGTACAAATTCTACTTTCCAAAATAATTGTTTTTGAAGTATGAAGTGTGACTTTCGTATAGTTTTCTTGAATATTAGTTGCATTTACGGCTAAGTTGTTTTCAAAAAACAACTTTTTTTCTACGTCTAAAAATCTGTTAAAAAGTTTAGGTTGGCCGAAGTTTAATCTCCAAATCTGGCATCACGACGATTATGGGAGGCAAGAGATATATGGTTACGGTTCGGTTTTTGTCCCTGCGACTTCTGGAATGCATGAGGTAGTTAATACTGGCTTGATAAAATTTCTCAAAAGAGCATTTCCAATCACTGGTCATTTGAGATAATTGAATCTACTTTTACTGCTTTTCAAGAATAAAGAGAGAGACAAGTGAGGGGTGTTACTGCAGTCAGTCGTCCTGTCACTCAGAGAGGGCTGTTATGAAGGGAGCATGGTTGTTCCAAAATGAAGCAAACTTGTGACGCTTTTTGATATTGTCTCTAAATCTTATAAAGCGTCTCGTTTTCTACATTAATTTGCAAACAAATGTACTGTAGTTTGTTAAAACCATTGATTATTCTCAAACATCATCTCTTGTTAAAGACCATTTCTTGCCCATGCTTGCTCATTCTCAGCAGATTAGTCAATGAATCTCACAGTTTTGCTAATTTTGGGAGTGGCAGAATGAATGCACTATTGTAAACGCAAACGGGGTTTCTATTTTTCAACGGCGGTAAGGCCGCCAAAAACTGGTGACCATTTTCGTTTGTAGAATAAGCTTTTTTCCAGCCTTATTTTGCAAGTTCTTTTGATTCTTTTGGTCTCCACTTATGAATCGCTATATGTTCGACCGATAGTAGATGATCTGTCCCAAAAAATTTCACTTTTTTCCAAATTATTTCCGTTTATTGTATTTAACAACAGTTTATCTCGATTGAAGCAGGTTGCAAAGGATTTGTCACAAAATATTCATGGTGTTATTGTTACATTAAATAATAGCTCGTAACGGGCTGTTGAATTGAAGAACTTTTAGGACTAGATCAGTTAGATATTTCATGATCCATTGTTTTTATTTTTGAATCGAACAGCAAATGAATAAATGATAAGGATACGTCAAGGTCAGCAAAAAAAGTAGACCAAATCAAACACTGTTATGACCTGAATTCGTTTTTTCCAAAGAAACCCTTGTTACCGGGCCGCAGTTTGGGAAAAACGGGTTTCTTCACCATTTTGCAATTTATTCAATTACTGCAGGTTTGGTACAGGACTAGGTTTTACGGGGCTGACTGACAAATGAATACGTGATGTTCTCGTATCGGGTTTCAACATAGTACTACTCAAGTTCTGTAGACTTAGACGTACTCGAAATTTTTGATGTGTAGATTTGAACAAAAAAAATTATTTGGAATACCTCATAATCTTTTAACAAAACTTTTCTAAATAAATTCTCGGTCTTTTCTTTCAATAAAATATGGTCATTTTGTTACCACTTTATTTTTTCTCGCTATGATCTTCAGTTCTTGAAATAAACATCATTAAATAGCAGCTTACAGGTGTGTATTATGTATTATATAAGCACTTTAGTTCCCGTTGGGAGATTTATCTGGTAACAGAGAACTTCAGCGTAAACTGGGATGTCGAAATGGTAGAAGGAAATAATCTAATATAGATTATTACTCAGTAATGTATTGGGAATCAGTGGAGCTTCATACTTCTACAATCACACATTTTTGCCATCTAGCACTTCATAATTATTTTGCAGATAAATTGTCATATATGGAGACCGAAAGGTAGTTTTCGCGAAGAGGTGATGCAGTATTTCTTAGGCGGTGGTATTCAGTTGTCTAACGCCAGTTTTGCGGGACAAGCCAAGAAGATTGCTAAACTGAAAACAACGTCTATGGGAGTTGTGCAACTAAATCTCTCAATAATTACACGAAATTTTGACAGATTTGGAATCCACTGTTGAATTTCTCAAAAAAAAAAAATAGGAAATAATGTTATTGGTAAAAAAAAAAAAGGAAATACTGTTATTGGTTTTCGGTTTCTAAATAAAAGTTCATGTGCCACAGTTTTCATGGCACTTTTCTGCCCCTTCTATACGAAAACCAGTGATTGTGAAATACATTCCTTTACTAGGGCAATCTGTTTTACTTGATAGATGTCTTAGATTCATTTAGCCAATGCTTGGCGGGGGATGCGTTTGGTTCTTCTTCAGTTCTTTTTTTTCCTGCATTAGCCATTCTTAACTGTGAGTTAGGCATTAGTAGGTACTGTTGACCTTTTGGAAAGGAAAAAAAATGACGAATTTGAAATAAAACCCTTTATTTTTTTTATAAATTTATACGTTCTTTGAGGTTTATATTTTTAGTGTTGAATGAGGTAAAACGGACGAGATATGTAAACAAAAGAGTTTGAGTTGGTCTCATTCTTAAGCAAAAAGAGTCATAGCGGTGTGAATTGTTTACTTACATACAGGAAGAAATAAAATATTCAGTAAAATATGGTTGGTTACCTTTAAATGGTCGCAGAAGCCGTTGAGATGATCGATCTGCAACGCTGATTTTGCGGATGGGCAGGCGACCTACAATAAATTGTCCTTGTTCGTCCTGCTTCCGTAGACCCGCATCATCGTCGTTGTTGTAGCTGGTCGGGGCTGTGCTGCCGACTTTAACATTACTGTCGCCGTCACTTTATCGGCTATCGTTATCTTCGTGATTGTGTTGTTTTGTACTTCAGTTCTCATTTATTGAGGACGGGCATGAAGAAGGCTGATGCAGTTTTTATAGTACAGGCAAATGGAAGTAATCAAATTGGTGACTGAGGTATTAATGACCTCTTGAAGTCTATTGCAGGACTACAGTTAGGGCTGCCTTTAGTTGTGCTTCTTTATTGATGTAGCTAAATTCTTTAGCATTGTTTGTGGCAAAAATCTCGCAGCAATGTTTCATCAGAGGGTGCCTTCACAGCATTGCAGGCTTTAGCCTTTACTATACAAATAGTTCAGTTGATGCAATGCAACTCGCATTTAGTGATGCATGTTCTTGAATTATGATAGTTGTGTTAATAATGCTTAAAATTGGGTATTGCCTTCTAAATTAGGCACTCGGAAGTCCCAATCAACTAAAAATTCTTTTCAGAGTGTTATAAAGTGCTTTATGTTAGCAGTTTTGAATGCATACCAGTCCGTTTTTTGGACATTTAGTGCTTTCGTATGTTAAACAAACTAAAAGCCAATTTGTTACTTTTCAATTTTGCAAATAAACTGTTTTTAAAATCAATTGAGATAGTATTGAAATATAATTTGGCTAGCTCGTGTAATGGTCTTTTAACTGTGTCATTTCACGTAAAACCGATGGTGTCTTACTTATTTACCTGTTCACTTTCCTTTCGTTTTTCAAAACAAAAAATTTTCCGATTAACAAGATTCTTGCTTCGATCAGATAAGTTTTGGTCGCTTTTATCAGTTGGTTGACAGCAAAATAGGTTTAGAATTTTGTTGCACTCGGCATGACTCTGAATAGTTTCCATAATAAAGTCAGGTTTTGTGCACAATTGATCAAACCTCTTTTGTGAATGCCTTCTCCGAAACGTTTTAAGAAATAAACTTACATTTGCGATAGTTGCTGGCATTTTAATTCAATTGCTGGCAAAGGTGATTTCCAGAATGTTGTATTCAAAAGTCAATCAAACCTGCAGTTTGCAGGTTTGATTGACTTTTTTTTTTTTTTTT